AAAATGAATTCTGTTCTGGTGAGTAAAATTGGATTTTACTGTTTTTTTTTAGTTATTTATTTATGTCTATATAAGTGAATTAATTAATTAATTAATTAAAATTACATAATTTACATACAACTAAAAACACACCTTTTTTCTGCTCARCTAAAAATATATTTAGTTTAATTAATTTTTGTATTATAAGTATAACTTACGAGTGTATTATTGTACACAAACACAATTATACAGACACTAGAGTGCACACACCTATAAATGCATATATTATTTTGATAACAATAATATGTTAAGTACATAATACCTATTAAATTTCTATAATTCGTACACAATCAACCACCACCACCATGATTGAAATCAGCTACCTTCCTTTTGGTAGTTTGTCACCGTTGTGCAGTATACTCACACAATTGTAGGCATCTGTTTATCGACTGCGTTAACGTTATATGAACGTGGCATATAATACGACGAGTTTCCAAACGGTTTAAAACATTATTGCACATCTCAATATGGCGTCTATATTACATCAATAAACGTTAATTAACTTAGCGTTGGCTGGGTATAAGGTGGGGTGTAATTAGAGGGAGCTTCAATGGGTGCGTTGGCAGAGGGTCGTAACAATAAGCTTTCCGTTTCTGTCTCACTCTTTGTCTCATTAACTGTATGTTCCACTCCCGCTTGTGTGTAGATTTTTGGAACCGATTGCTTTGTCGAATGGTTTTGGCACCAAGAGATAGTCAGGAACACTGAGGCAAAGAGAGAGAGAGAGAGAGAGAGAGAGAGAGAGAGAGAGTGAGTGAGAGAAATAGACGTGGAAGAGACACTCGCACACACGCGCATACCAACACAGACACAGTGCACAACTCGTCGAGGAATTTAATTAACAGGATTCGAGGTTGAAAAGGAGAACCACACCATTTTAACACCCTTAATGACTCCACACTTCCCATGCCATCTGACGAATGATATTATAAAGCACTTTGCACAGACCTGAAATCTCTCGTTTCTTTGCCATTTAATTTGCATAAGTCGTTACCAGTGCCTAACCATTATGATTTGTACGCTATGCTCGTTTTATTAACTTAATATCCTGTCAAAACAGTCTCCTAATAATAATGATAATAGTAATAATAATATGGAGGAGAAGAAGAATTGCAATTAAAATGGTGTCGTCATCGAAGCAATCGTGTCGTTGTGAAATATTATTTAAAAAGTATCCTAGCGAGTGAAATCAAAACATTGTTTAAGCAATTTATGTATGCTTATTAGGGGTGAAGCACAAAATTGCAATGGRTATCGCGATTCATATTTTATTTTWATTTTTTWATTTTAAAGTGTTTCTGACATACAAGGTCATCGAACTTTTTGATATAATAAACATTTTTAACATCAAGAAGTTGTTAAGTGTAAATTAATATTTTATTTTAAGCGAATGTTTTTCTGTAAAACTGTGTATTAAATTGTTGAATCAAAATATTTTTTTTCAAAATATTAATTGCTTATGTTAATAAATTGTAAAAATATCCATATTCTATAAATTTATAGTGGCTATAACATATTAAATTTATATAAATAGGTACAAATATAGCCAGCTAATAYATTCTATTTTTCTTTCTTCTAAGGTCTTAATTTTACAAAACAATTTTTAACTCTTACGTGTTATATTGCTCTTAAGAATTATGGTCYGTGAAAAAATATTATATTCTAAAATATCATGTATTGATTTTATAATGATATGTGTTTTTTGTGTTTGTCTCCACATTTTGGAACAGTATAAAATTAGTATTTCAATCTTTAACTTCAATATATTTCTGGTATAAAAGCGGATATAATTAATATTCATTTTAGATTCTGAACGAAGTGATGAAGGTATTGATTTTACAATGATGTGTGTTTTTTTTTTTTTTTTGTGTCTGTGTACAGCAAAACTAGTCGAAATAATGCTTC